AGCGGCAACAGACTAGTTCGAAGACTAAAGCGGCAACAGACTAGTTCAAAGACTAAAGCGACAGCAGACTAGTTCAAAGACTAAAGCGGCAACAGACTAGCTCAAAGATTAAAACAGCTTTGTGCTAGCTTGAAGACTAAAACCCAAATAAGCAAAATGCTAAATAAAAGTATTAACACATTATATAGCAGCTATAATAGACTAGCTGAAGCCTAAAAGTAGCAAAAGATTAACTAAATGCTAACCCACCATTCAAACAATAAACTTCCAAATCCAACACTGAAACAGTTCAAAATAACTTAAGTTATACTCATTCTCATGACAGTATAAATGTTTTGGCCTGTAGGGGCAAGAAAATGCCAAGAATTGGAGGTTTTGGAAAATGTTGAAAAAGGATTGGACTGATGAAGCCTTCTGGATGAAAGGTGAAATGTTTCAGCACAAAAAAAGAAACTGTCCAGATGTCCCGACTGAAAATTGTTGGATTGTATACCTGGATTATTGAGCATGGACTTTGTTGGTTTTGAACCAGTTTGACATGACTGTCAATGAGGAAAAGGGCCTGCTCCAGAGGAGGGAGCGTGCCAAAGACACATTCTTAACACCAACATAACTGGTTTGTTCCACTTTCAAGTAAGCTGTTTGGGGGAAGAATCAGTTGTGTTGTGTGTTTCCTTGACTGATGAAGCCTTCTGGATGGAAGGTGAAATTTTTCAGCACAAAAAAAAGAAATTGTCCAGATGACCTGACTGAAAATTGTTGGGTTGAAAAAGGATGCATGTAGCTGTTAGCTGTTGCGTCCCTGCCTGATGACATCACCGTAAAGGAGACAGACGCTCACAGGCTGTTGAGGTTCATCTGACCCAGAGGTCGGTGAGCTGCGAACGCCCTTCTGCTAGAAATAGACGTCTTCTAGCTTCTATTTCTTCTGAAATACAGGTGTGGGTTTATTATGGGATTACTGGACTCAAAAGTTCTTACTGGACATGGATTAAAGGCCTAGCGTTCCTTGAAGGAATACTTATCGCCTGCTGCCTTTCATCCCAGAGCTGTCATAAAAGATCAGAAATGATGGCGTTGTAGTCGTTATGGTTCCAGCTCAAGATCTGTAAAAATTGTATGGGTTATAGCCATTTGTGTTTTTTCTTTATGGTCAATCGGCTGAGGCAGCCATCTTGACATAGTTTGAGTTCTAGACGGACATCGAATCAGCGTTTTCTGATGATCTTGGTCTAAAACAGGAAAGGTGTTGGTCGATACACATTCCCTCCTTTTGCTATTTTTCCATGTTCTACAGCCGCAGGTTCCTAAAGTCACCGTTCAAGCTGTCGCTCATCTTTGTTCATTCTGTGACCCTGCAGGTCGCGTGTACGAAGGCAAGGTTTACACGGGACTCTGCAACTTCAACGAGAGGTGGGAGCGGCTGTCGCTGGCGCAGAAGAAAGGCTTCAACCATCGCTACCAGCTGGGCTGCAGCTGCAGGGTGAGTGGAAACGTGCGGTCAGGAAGCTTCGGCTGCGCCACTACACCCAATGTTTGTCAACTACAAGACCACAAATAAAGTTTTATCTGTAATTAAACTATCCTTTCTGTTAGCAAAACATCTCGTGTGCTAAATGACCCATTGGCATTTGTTCAAGAAGCTGAAACTGAATAGTTTAAATCAAAACCATTAAAACAAAAGTTAGAACTTTAAAGCTAAAAAAGGCAAAAACAGTAGCTAAAAGCTCATTAGCTAAACGGATGCTAAAATCAGCAAAATATAAGCTAAAGGCTCAAATTGGTCAAATAAAAAACTAAAAGCTGAAAAAAATCAAAGCAACAGCTAAAAACCAAGATGAACAAAACATTAGCTAAAAGCTTATATTAACAAAGTTGTAGCCACTTTCAGCAAAACTGACTAAATGTTTGCAACAGCAAAACAGAAGGTAAAAACTCCAATTAGCAAAACAAAAGCTAAAATTAGCAAAATGGTAGCAAACAGTCAAAATTAGCAATGCAAAAATTTAAAGCTAAAATAAGCAAAGCAGTAGCTAAAAACTAAAATAACCAAAATATTAGCTAAAGCTCAAATTAGCAAAACTGTAGCAAAAACTAAAATCAGCAAAATGGTAGCTAAGTTAGAAACCATAAAACAAAATAAAAACTCAGTTGGCAAAACAGAAGCTAAATTAAGCAGAACTGTAGCTTCAAGCTTAACTTAGCAGAATAGAAGCAAAAGCTTAAAAAGAAGCTAAAAGATAAAAAAAAAAAGCATGTATGCTGAAGTGGATTTTAAATGACACAGTTAACTTTTAGAGTTCTCTGTTCAGTTCAATGAGGGGAAGAAATGGAAATAAAATTAAACATTTGAAAAAGTAGCCAAACATTGATTTTTTAAATTTTATTTTTGTTAAAACAGCTGAAAGTAAGCTGAAGTAGTTGTACACCGAAAAAGATTGAACTTGAACAGAATTAAGATGGCCTCATCATACAATCATCTCATGTTGAAACTGAAAAGGATGGAAGGTGGCGGGTGATATGCATTCCTTGCAGACCTTTGAGACTGAACTGTAGCTGATTTTCAGGACCTTTTTTCCACCAACAGCCTGAATGTTGACAGAAAAGGCGAGGAATTAAAACTTTACTACTATCAGCGGGGTTTGTTGAGTAACAGATCTGGAATCAGCTCAACTCTGGGTTCCCAGTGTTTTTATGACTCGAGCTTGTAGCTTGCCTTATGCAGCTGTTGACCTGGACATCTGCTAACACGCACACATTCGGCCACTATCGGAGCAAGTGGATTAGCAGAGAGAGCCGTTTGTTCCCGATGCGGGCCAGCGCCTGTAAAGAGTTTACATGGCAGCGACCCAGAGACGAGCGTCCATCATCCGCTTCGCTACGACTTCACACAGACGAGCACGCCTCTCCATCCTCACACAAACCGTGAGAGCAGGAAGCGTCTCGTGGCGTCAGAAAATTATTTCCCACGTGTCTGAACCTCTCCTTGAATAACAGAAGCAGCTGAAATGGGAAGCCTGCCCTCCGATGAGCTTTCAGATCCAGAGAAGTGCAGCTCGGTGCTTCACAGCGACTCCTTTTTCACCTCTCGGAGCCGTTTTGTGTGAATCTTCCTGCCGGTAATTTATCTGCAGAGCTGCGTTTTTGTTCGAGCACCTGGTGTGACGACGCACCACCGAGCCGATTCTTAAACTGCTCAAAACTTAAATGCTCCAGGAAGACGCTTCGTTTTGCATTGAAATGCCACGATACGCTTGAGGAGTTTGCACTTTGGTGTTTTTTTTAAACACCTGATTTGTGACGCCGCTGCAGTAAATGACTAAAAGTCAAAGATGAAAAGTATCTTTAGTCAAACCATACTCGCTTTTAAACGAACTGACTGGACGACGTCTGGATTTTTAATGTTTTGCTTCTCATCCGAGGAGCTTCCTCATTTAAAATCAGTGCAAATCTTTCAAAATAAAAAGAAATCGCTGTTTCACAGAGCTCAAACTCGCATACAAATCCTTCCACTCCCTACTGAGGGTTGTTAGGGTTTTGTTGATTTCTCTCACACTCTTCAAATCTAAACGTTTTCAGTGTCAAACCATTTTTTTGAATTATCATCTGATTAGTTGGCAAGGACCATTCGTAGGCGTCTCCAAAATGTCTTAAAACGTTTGTGGGTTTACAGTTCCCTGACATTAGAAGCTTGAAGTCTTGTCGCTTAAGTTTTGAACATGCTCACATTTTTTTCTTAAAAATAGCTGCAATTTTGTTGTAGGCATCTAAAACCTTTCACAATTTTGTCCTAGGTGTCTTAAACCCTTCTCGGTTTTATTGCGAGTGTCTTATACCCATCTTAAACCCTTCTCAGTTTCATTGCGAGTGTCTCAAACCCATCTTAAACA